TGCTTTTTTTGGATTATCCATATATCGTTACACAATTCTATGAATGTCATCTCGGCTTCCTGCCCCTCGAAATAGTGCAAGATGATTCAGATTTTTGTGGATAATTTTAAGTATTTGTGTATATTTTTGTGATATGTATATTGGCAAGATATTTTGGTATCGATCACTAATGAAATAAAGAATAATTCGTTCTTGTACTTTTTTCGATTCAGCACATAGATCCTCAAAAACAATAACTGTACTTCGTTCCAGAGAGAATTTAGTTATATCTGGAATCTTATCTGAAGATATCCTTTTAAATATGATATCTTGATATGGTTTATGTACATTCGCAAAGATCTAAAAGCTATTTTGTACAAGTTACCATTTTGGCTCAAAATGCTTGCCTATTAATATGAGATCATTGTTTTTGATATAACGATTTCCTTTCTTATCTTTAAACATTTGTTATAATTTGTTATCTAGCATAAGATTAATAACCATATTTGTTTTTCCACTATTGGAGCCACCTGTCACGAGGAGTCTAAAAGGCTAGTTGGGACATATTTATTAGATTTCATTTGCTCTGAATATTTGTTTGATATTTCATCAATATTATATACAAACATGGACATGCTTTTATCTTTCATTCTAACCAGGATAAGTAATATTTATTCTTTATGCAATAAATAATCTTTCTTTTGTAATTTGCATTTTATGTACAGGAATAAATCAGCAGAGTATGGAATTTCAATGAGATCTATATCTCACTCTTTATATATATCTCACTTTTTTTGATCACAATTCCATTGTGCACCTAGACCAGCCTTGCCATTGGTATGAAAGTGTTTTGGAACTACACGATAATGTTGGATGTTATAGAATTCGAATATCAATTTTAATTCTTCATTATACCCGTCTAATTGCATCCCATTAAAAAATGACGGTTTACAAAATGGAAATTTCTTACCCAACAAATTCTCAAAAATATATCTACATCTCTGCTCATCATTATAATGGAAACAAATTGGACATTATTTAAATTTTGTAGCTATTAATAGATATGGATATTCCTACTGATGCTTTCCATTTTCACATGACCAAAGATATACATTCATTTCATTTATTCGTTAAGTTTTCATGATACAATGCCCATTACACTTTCTGGTGTATTCTCAGCCAGTGATGCTTTAGAATTTGGTTGATTATAGAACGTCATAAGAATAAGTAAACTGTATACAATAAAAAAAATATTTATTGGTATATTAATTGGTTGATTCGAAATAAAATTAAGATCTGGAAGATTAATCGATAAGTCCTAATGCCCATAGTTCATCTCGAATAGTCTTTTCTGAATCTTTATTATCATATTATACATAAAAGAGATATATATCATTTTTATCACATAAATCTTTTTTGAGCTGATCTCGTTCCTTTTGTTTTTGAATTCCTCTTAATTTTCGTGAAAGAATGGATAAAAGCACTCATGTTAAATTCCTTGAACTTCAATAGTGAACTCAAAATCATAATAAGAAATATCAAGTTCTAGTCCTGTTGGGTGTTTATCTGTTTTCAGGAAATCAGGTCTACGTTTTTCTGATGGTGGTGTATCTAATAATTCAGTAACTATTTTTTGACAAAGTTCTTATCTCTTCCAAGGACAAAATGGACACCACGTACCCTGAATAATATTATTAGACACAGCTATTCACATATAGTCTTTTTTGCATTTCCAGTTTAAATAAGTATTAGTATTGACATATGCAGTTGATAAACATTTTCTACCCCGCTCTTTGGCTATATTATTCATATCTTCAAGAGTTTTACATGTTGATGAACAGTCTGAACACCAATGATGGGCATTTAAAATACAACTTGGCTTTGTCATTCATTTATGGCCTTTTTTACATTGCTATTCTAATTTCGTATATGTATTATAGTATTTGTTTGAAAGACATTTGCCATTTTTTATTTGTGCTAAGTTCTGCATATCAATTATGGTCCGATTCCATCCACTACACGTTGGACACCAATAGTTATGATCTTTTACTTTATTTAAGTTTGTAGAAAATATATGGCCTTTATTGCATTTCCATTGTAAAGGAGTTTTGTTAACTTTATAAACTGAAGAAAGACATTTGCCATTTCTGGTACGTGTGCGAGTGTTTTTGCAATGTCAATATTTTTATGATTACATTTACGACATTACGTTTTATGACATCTAACACTATTAAGACAAGCGAATCAAGAATGGCCTTTATCATATCTCCATTGTAAAGAAGTTTTGCTATTTATATATTCCGTTGAAAGACATTCACTATTTCTACTACGTGCTAAAGTAATAGCATCTTCAAGAGTAAAATATTTATATAAACTATATTGTCTATATTGTGGATACCACGAATTTTTGTTCCTAATGCGATAAAATGGAGCAGTTCACTGATGTCCCTTAGCATATTTCCAATGAAGAGGAATTCTGCAATGTATATACAAAGTTGAAAGACATTTGCCATTACACTTTCTTGCCAGTATTTTTGCATCATCTAAAGTTAATCGAGTTGTCATTTTTTTTAACTATTTCTAATATATTAATTATTATTTAAAATGCTTTGTGGGGAATACTGCAATGTATTTATATTCACTAACATAAGTTCTTCTCTCACAAATCCTCGTCTTGGAGCATATTCACCTTCTAAGTAATATAAAACTGATTTATTTTTTGTCATTACAATTTTTCAAATTTTAAATAAAGTTGAACTCCATACCAGATCCATAGCTTTTTTCTGATTCTCCATACCCCCTTCCCACTTCACATTAGCAAGCAGATAGCGAACTGTATCATCTTCAACCTATTCTTCTCATATTTTTCAACCGGATGTTTATACTTTGTAGATGGCCTAGATTTTACTTGTTCTAGTTTAATAGCTTTTGTTGGAGCCAATCCCCATTTTGATGAGCCTGGAGCTTGAATGAGACATGTTGGATGATTGTTTAGGTAATTAATAATATCTAGCAAATACTTAACCCACTCTCTTATTAATTTAGAATTCGAAGTTAGACTTTCAACGGCATATTGGACTTTATATAATATTTTTGCTAGAGTTTTATTAAATCGTTCCACAATGGCCATGCCACGATGACTGTACGTACCAATGACTTATATTATTACATTATGCTCTTGCATAAGCTTAGAAATTTCTCTCATAAATTCTCTACCACCGTCAGATTGTAATAAATCAAACCAGATAAGAGAAATATTCAGGTTGTCATAAATTTTCTTAAACACCTTGGCTACCTCTGAACTGTTTTTTGAAGTTAGAGAAACAGTGTATTTAAAATGAGATACAATGTCATAACAGTAAGTGCCTATTTATATGTCTTTTTATTAATGATATCATTTGTAAGGCACAACAAATTACACATATGTATACAGTTTGGACATGAAATTTTTCCATAACTTACTCGTGAAGTGTTTTTTGGTGACAGAGCATACTTTTGCCATTCATTCTGGTTATGCAACCATTCATAAACTTTTTTATACAGGAAATTATATTCTTTATCTTTGATAAAGAATTATACAGCTTTTGAACATTAGAATAATAACTGGTAGGTTGATAAAAAAGCAATTTACAAATTAAGTTTAATTCCTCATTTGAATCAATTCTAATAATAGGCATGCTCAATTTATGCGAAGCATGGTCTAAGGACCTACTCATTTTCGATATATTTTACTATAGCAATAAACTCTGTTTTAGCAAAGTCGAGAGATAAGTCAATATAATATACTGTAAAAATAGCTATGACATTTCAGAGACCCCAACCTCCAATCAAAATTCTCATATATCAGCTTCTAATCAGGAGTTGGAGCTAAAGCAAGCAAATCAGATCCTAAGAGATAAACTTTCTAATGAAATTTCAATCAATAGATTAAATAAGAAATATATAAAAGATCTGGAATGTAAATATATCCAGTATGAAAAAGAAATCCAATCTCTCAATAAAGAATTGGAATGGCTTGAGAATGTTTCAGAGGAAAAAAAGACAGAGTTGAGATTGGAGATATCATCCCTTAAAAAAAGCTTATATCAAGTCACAAAGGAGGTTCGGGAGATTAAATCCTATAATGCTAATCTAGAACAGTAGTTGCAAGAATGTTATGAGAAAATAGAAAATCTGAAGTATAGATTCAAAGTTATTTCTTCCTGGAGAAGCTTTTCAACTTTATATAATTTAGAAGGAAAAATACCAATATGGCAAATCTTAACCTTTTTATACAAATTGATCGAGGCTTAAATCATATTGAAAATCATATTCGAGGTGCTGGTACTCCATTAAATAATTCTATCAATATTATAAATGGCATTAGAGATTTTTTGAATGCTATCTGCCTTAATTATCAAAATGCGTATCAGGATATAGATAGTGTTATTGCCCAATGAGATGATAGAGATAATCAGATAGTCCAGCTACAACAGGATATCAATTTCTATAGACAACAAAACAACAATCTTCAGAATCAAACCAATCAATTTATTCAAGCCTGAGATGCCTTGCAAAATCAAACCAATCAACTTGTTCAGGAGTGAGATACTTTGCAAAATCATGTTAATCAACTTATATCAGAATGAAATATCTTGTGAAATCGTATCAATCAACTTACTAAATATCTTAATAACAGCTAACAAAGATATAATTTGTAAGAATGTTTGTGACATAATGTTACCTTGGCATTAGAAGAACAATCTAAACTCAGGCATTCTTTCGAAATTATTTATAAGATATCTATTCATCGGCTAAAGCAGGAGCTACAACAATGCCAAGCTGATAAAGAATTATTAGAATATAATCGAGATCGAATCTTTGAATAATATTACAATAAATTCAAGGATCGAAAGGCGAGTCATATCAAGTGGAAAAATAGAGAGTGCAATTCACAGCAATTAATTTTAAATTTACAAGCCCAAATTTTATTATTACAAAATAATATATCATAGAATCATAATAACAATTAAACAGGTATGATGGGTTACAAATTAAAAAAATTCAATGGATATACTACTGAAGATCCCGAAGAACATATTGAAGAATTTAGATTGTGGCTTGCAGGTTCTGGAATAGATGTAGGTGCTGGCCATGCTAATAGAATTAATGTTCATGGTGTTTTTAAAGTGTCTCTCAAAGGGAATGCTAAAGATTGGTATTTATGGGAAAAATTGAGAGTTGAAAAATTTACTTGATAATACAATGCAAGCAAATTTAGTCGATGTTCAAGGAAGAAATACCAGTCAAATTGAAGTGCAGGCCTTAAATCGTGCAAACAGGCAGAATGGAAATGTTATAATTCCAGCTCATACAGTATTTGATGAAGATTGGTCTTTTGCTGATGAATGACCAACTGATCGCTTACCCAATGCACCCAATACTAATACAGGTAATACTGTGGTTGTACCTGGTATTTGACTTGGACAAGTATTATACTGATTTAAAATCAACTATTCTACAGTTACGGCTGAAAAACAATGGATACTTTTTGGTTCAACTGTTCAAGGAAGCGATCCAGTTGGCCATTTCTATTCTAACTTATGTAGATTAGCTAGGCTTGTAGGTATTGATGAACAACAAATTTGATTGCAATTTCTTTGTGAACTTTCATCCATCAACCAGATGGAAGTTCGTCATTTAGAAATTGAAAAATCATCAGATGAATTGCTTCTGAAACTTGAAGAAATTGAAAGATATACAGCAGAACAATTATCTGGAGCTTACTTGCATTCAAACTCAGATTCAGTAGCCAGTAAAGGTCATGGAAAGAATAATTACTCAAACAATACAGGTATGACCAAAGAAAAAATTGAAAATCCGATAAAAGGTATTATGGCATCTTCACTATCTCAACCTATCTCACAAACTATCTCTTCTAAATCTCAGGAGAACCAGATCACACTTTCACAAAACAATTTCAAAAAAATTATAGCAGGTTTGAAAGGAACTATTGCTAAAGGACAACAAACTTTGAAGAAACCTCCAGACCAGGAAAACAAAAAGCTAATGATCTTGCTATAAATCATTTTTTAGATAGTGTTTTTGATGACACAGGTTTATCAGAAAAAGCTTATAACTATGATCCCATTGAAGATTTGAGAAAACAATTCGAGGATTTGAATATCAATCAAGCAAAACTAGCTCGAATAGCACATGCTGTTTTAAAATCTTCTCAATACAAATGTTTAAAGTATAGTAAAACAGGTCATAATTTTTGCAACTGCCCTAAAAATAAAAAGAAAAGCAAGTTTAAACATTCTAGCAAAAGCAGATCCAAGAAAAAAGATAAGATTAATATAGCTACTAAAGATTCAGATTCTGAGTCTGATGTTAGCTCTTCTAATAATAAATCTAATTCTGACTCTGACTCTGGATTAAGTTCTGGTTCTGAATTGGAATCTGATTTTGTGAATGACTTAACTGAGACTGAAATCGTGAAAATTATCAATGCTGTTAAATCAAAAAAAAAGTAAAGCAGAAGAATAAATCAGATAAATCATCTAAAAAGTCTAGTTCAAAAAAAAGACAGAGTCTCGAATCTCTGATTCAACGTTCTTCACAAAAAATACAAAAGAAATCAGGTACAATTATTGACTCACAAATTTGAAAAATTATTCTAGCTATGTTTAACGATCAAGAGGTTATAGAAACGATTAAAAACAATATTAATAATACAAATTTGTCTATCGCAAAACCTGACTTTATAAATTATTGAGAACCAATTCCAGAAATATCTGATTCAGATAATGAAGAGGAGATGCTGAACAATCCTATGGAGATTGATTTTGTTCTTCAGAAAGAACCAGTAATTAGTATTGCAACTATACCAGTTAAAATCAAATGCTTAAAAATTCCAGCATTGATACTAGATAGTGATGTTGAACCTACAATTATATCAAAAGATATTGTTAAATATGTAGGCAGGAAAATAGGTAGGTCAGAAAAATATGATCTCAATGGTATTGCTACTGTTCCAACAGAATCGATTGGTATCACTCTTAATTTACCAATAACATTTCTTTCAGGTTTTACTATACATGAAGATTTTGTAGTTGTTTGAGTTTCCAAACCGACATTAATATTCCCAAACCCACTTCTCAAAAAATATAAATACGTTGTAGATTGGAGTAATAATAAAATAAAGATTCATTATAATGGAGAAGATTTTGTTATTCCGGATACAATACACAAAGTCAAAAACAAGCTCGAAGTAAACTGTACTACTACATCTCAGATTGATAGGTCTTTGGTATCTGATCAACTTTCTCAAAAAGCGAATAGTAATGATAACCCATCATTAAAAAAAAATGCATGAGCTATGAGGAGTTAAAAAAAATGCTATATGAGGTACTTAAATCCAAGGTTAAATTAATAGAACTCAATAAAAAATTACAAATTCGTAGAGATGAACCTGAAGACTCAAATAAAAAGATTATCAATATAGTGGAAGTGAAGATAAATTAGTTAAGATTTAAAAATCTTTCTGATTCACGTTCATATTCTTCTGTTTCTTTGCAATTCTGCTCAATCAAAGTATATAAGTCATCTTTTCTTTCCATTTTTTTTGTCAGAGTATTGGCCTGCTAATAATATGTGTCTTAGCACTAGCTCCACTATTAGATAAATCAAAAATTCGAACCGATTTAGATCTCAGTTTTCTTTTTTTAACCTATTTGTTTGGAATATTAATTTGATTAGAATTCTCAATTAAACTAGTTTCTTCAGTGGAGCTGGTATGGTCAATACTTGATAAGCATGATTTGGAGGGTAATTCTAATATAGGTAAATCCTGACTTGAAGGTGTTATTGATTCTGATATAGGCTGATACCATTCAATCATACTAACTTCTTGTCCTCTTCAAATTTTATAAAAACAGTTATTTGTCATAGGGTATTTTTTTCTCAACTTCTTTAAAACATCAGTTTTGGGTTTTATATCATAATATTGCATAATAAATTTATAAACTTCTGGTGATAATGGAACTGCATCAGATTGCATATGTTTAGCCATGTTATTTTTATAATATCTGTAATATCTGTAATATCAATAATTTATTGAGGAAAAAAATATTATATTATATGTATAATACATATAGTATCGATAATTAGTATGTATAGTATACATTTTTTTTTTCAATGACTGGCATACACCTTGTTTTATTAGAAAGAATTTATGGTACATGTATATTCCCTTTATGAGAACTGACTATTACCTATCTACACCTAATGAAACTACCTAGGGAAAGCTCTTATGACTTACCCACCAGTCGGCTTATTGCCCTCTATCTTCCTATATTATCAACACCGGGGCTCTGATAGCATAGATAGAGTACTAATGTGCCAGGATGTGTGCCTTCCAGTTCCACCCACCATCCGATGAATAGAAACTCAAAAAACCGTATCCTAATACGATCAGCCGTGAATCTAAGCCATATCCACAAGGAGTCTTTGTGGCTCTAGCTA